CCGCCCGCGCCACGTCGCGCTGGACCCCGACTGGGGGTGTGGTGTGATGTCGCGTCTGTGCTTCGACTGGGTGCGCGTCTGCGTCGTGGCTGGCATCGTCGAGCGGGAGGTCGGGGCGTTCCTCGGTGCCCCCTCCGTCTGTCGGGTCGTCAACGCCAGCGACGTCACCGCGTGCTTCCCAGCGTGGTCACGGCCGAAAATGTCACGCGGGTTCGTCGGGCCGTCGAAAACGGCGAACTCCAAGCGGGTACATCCGAGACGCTTGTCTGTCACGACCGTGCTTGCGGATAGCGTCAGGGAGGTGGTTGCCAAAGTTCCAGGTGCGGATGCTTGCGCCGACCGCATCTCGAGCTTCTCGGCGTTGCGTGACGCCTTGGACTTGTTCGTCGCTATGTCTCAGGGCCGGGATATCAGCCACGCCGGCCTCTCTTCTGCTGTCGTGGAGCGTCTGGGGCTGCACGAGGCGTGCTATGCGCCAAATTTTGGGCGTGCAAGTTCCACGTGGCCACCCACCTGCCAGATATGCATCCCAAGTTCGGGCTGCTGTCGCGCTTCGTGCGCGAAGGGGGGCACAACGTGGTGAAGCGATTTTCGCGCGACCACAACTGCATGCAGCGCCCGGAGAAAGCCTAGGTTCTTCAGCTTGTGGCCCAGCGCCGCTGCGATCTGAAACGGTTCTGCTTTGTAACTGGGTTGCGTGCGCCTATTGCAGCATCAAAGAATGTGATCGAGTTCTAAAGTATTTGCGCTCAATGGCGCAGGCGGCAGTGTCCAGCGCCAGATCTTTCCACGATAACAACTCGTTCAATCGAGGCGGCGTTGTTCTGATGGAACTTGGCAGCGGTTACTCAGCCGTTCAAGTGTGGTTTCGCGTTCAGTGCGACCTTTAGACCGTGTTGCAGTCAGAGCTATTCAGTCTGGTTCTGCGATTGGCAACTCGGCGGGTGCGTGTGGGATGGAGTAGATGCGACATCGACGATACCAAACACATGTACTCGTGCCGACCAATTTGTTGAATCACCCTACAGTTTACAGGAGGACCGATGACGTTACAACGTGCGTCTGGCCAGCCGAGTGCCGCAGAAACTGCTCATGATGCTCATTGTTTTGCCATGCTCGCAGTACTCTGGCATAAGCTTGCAACTTATGCAGCGCGGCTTTCCCTTGGAACATCATTATCTGAAAATCTTCATCCCCCATAAACCGTTCCACAGGATCCCGAACACATGAGATGCGCCTTCAAGCGAACCACGCATGTTGAGCATCTCATATACAAATCATAACTTGTCGCAACTAGTTATACTTCAGTAGTAAGTCCCGCTAGCTGTTAGGAAGTCACGTGGGCCTCGAAGCGGGCGCGTGCGAACGCTGCCGTTGGGGCCATCTGGAGCTTCAAATGGGGCCACGAACCGTGCATGCGAAGGGTGTGCCGAAGTGGGGTCGGGCGCATGCGAACCCTGTCACCAGGGCCTTCGGGAGAGCCCCTTAGGGGTGTGCGACCCGTGTGAGGGTTGTGCCAAAACGGGTGTCGGGCGCATGCCACTCCACGGGTGCATTGTTATGTTAATGGTGAAATATTGAAGTGGCTTGCGCCATTCTGCCGGCTCCCCGAAGAAGTGAGATTTTGCGACGATCGTGGTAGTTATTTGAATGCATATGATGGGGCTCTTGGAATACTTCGCAGAGACCTTTTGGCGGGCTCTTCGTGGCGTCTGGATGGCTGGTTGGGGCCTCTTGGGTTCCTCCTGTGGGCTTTGGAGGGCCTCTTGGGTCCTCGTGGGGGCGCTGCTGGGGCTTCAGGGAAGGCTCGACATGTCAGTTCGTAGTCCCCCTCTTGAGCCTCTCTTGGGACGATCTTGGAGGCTTCTTTGGCCGAGTGCGATGCTGTCAAGCTGAAAAATACGAGTATGCTAGAAATGCACATCTCCCGTAGGGGATGGGGCAAATTTTGCTTCTAGGGGCCCTTGCGGCGGTCCTCTGGGAGCACTCTGGGGCCGTATTGGGGGGAAGCTATCTTGGACCGTTGTGGGGCTACCCCGGGCCGTTTCGACGCTCTCTTGGGCTGTCCTGGCGCTTTGTTTGGGTTTTCTTGGGCGGTTATGGGGGCTTTTTGGAGGCTTCGGAGGTCTCGGGGGTGCGTTGAAGAGGTCGTCTGCCCCTCTCTCCCCCCTTAAACTGGATTCTGGACCCCAGGGGAGGGGGAAAGGGGGAGGGGGACAGCCAAATATCTCACACATTGTCACCCCCAGCAAGTGGGGGCCGGCGGATTCGATGGTGAAGATGATACCGACGACGACGGCCACGACCACGACTACTTGCCCTCCTCCTCCTCCTCCTCCTTCTCCTCTTCCTCCTCATCATCCTCTTTCCCCTCCTTCAGCACTTGTCTTCCTCGTTCCTCCTGCTCCTCCCTGATCCTCCTCCTCGGTCAAAGCTCTTCTACTCATCCTTTTCCTCCTCCTCCTCCTCCTCCTCCTCCCATTCCTCCTCTTCGTATTTCATTCTACAATTGATGGGGGCCAACTGGACAGGGTCAGATCGCATTGCGGGCAAATGTCTCTATTGAGGTTTGACTTCATCTCGTCATAATCCAAGTTGTTGAGCCCGAGTCAGGGGCGACTCGTGTCCTCTTTCTCTTCCTCCACTTATTTAATCGCTTCGCTCATGCCGCCGGCCCTGGAGCCCTCTTTAGGGCCTCTTGGGGGCCTCTTGGGGACCTCTTGGGAGTCTCTTGGGGCTCCTTGGCGGCGTTTTGGAGGCCCCCAGGGCCTCTTGGGGGGCTCTTGGGGGTAGTCGATTGCGCCTCCCCCCTCGGAGGCCACGATCCTCGTGAGGGGTGTCGAAAAATTCCCCCTCTGGAGTGGTCTGGTGGCTTCTCCCGGGCTTCTCTCGGGACCTTGCCGGGGTACTTTTCGTCCGGGGGCCCCCAGGGGCCGCTCCGCGCGCGCGAACTAGAAATATTGTTAACAAGTTACCGGAGATCTTAGCACGCCTCTGGCCCGTTGGGCCTGCGAATTCTTCCCCGAACGTTCTCTTCATTCGTCCTCCTTCACTGGGTTCTGACCTCCCTCTCCCTCTACTCTCTCCCGTCCCGCGCGGTATCTATTGCACGGTTGTTGGAAGTCTTGGAGGCAGTGTGGAAGGTTTGGGGATCGTCTTGGAGCGGTCTTCGGCCGTCTTGGGGCCGTCTGGGCGGCCCGCCACAATCTTTGGGCCGTCTGGGCCCCCTTGGACCCCTCGTGGGGCTCTCTTAGGCTGCTTGGGGCTATCTTGAGGGCTCCAAAAACCAATCGGAAGCGAAAGTACGACAATGCAAACAAAATTCATTTGCCTTAGGTGTTTCATGGATTTGGGCCTCTTTCGGGGGTCCTGAGGGGGCTCCGAGGGCACTTGGAACCATTGTGGAGCTGACCTGGAGCCTCTCGGAGGTACGTCGGAGGCTATCTTGAATTGTCTCCGGCTAGATTGAGCCATCTTGGAGGCAATCTTGGGCTATCTAGTGCTCTCTTGGTGCCGTCTTGGACCATCCTGGGCACTCCAGTCGGTCGCAGGGCGGCCCGTCCAGACCCGGTGGTTCTCGCAGAGGGAAGGCACAATTCGTTACACCGCCTACGCCCAGAGGGCTGGTGGAATTCAGGGTTATCGACGAGGCCATGGGCACGTGCGGAATATCGTATACACCACGTACCCTGCACCGCACAGCTCACATCACCTAGCTTACACATCACAGTCTTCGCCATGGAAATCTCATTACAGACCTCACACCATGGAGCTCCCACCTCCACCGGTCCGCCGGTCCACCAGTCCGCCGGAGCACCAGTCCGCAGGTCCCATGGTCCGCCAGTCCAGCGGTCCACCAGGTCCACAGGTCCACTGGTCCACCGGTCCAACGGTCCGCTGGTCCGCCAGTTAGCCGATCCGCCGGTTCGCTGGTCCACCGGTTCGCCAGTCCATCGGTCCGCCGCTTCACCAGTCCATCCGCAGGTCCGCTGGTCCACTGCACCAGTCCACCAGTCCGCTGGTCCGCCAGTCCGCGGGTCCACCGGTCCCTCTGTCCGCGGGTCCACCAATCCGCCGCTCCACCAGTCCATCCGCCGAACCGCCGTTCCTCCTGTCCAGCGGTCCACCGGTCCATGCAGTGGTCCGCCGGTCCGTCCGCCAGTCCACCAGTCCACCAGTCCGCCAGTCCGCCAGTCTGCTGGTCCGCCCGTGCACCAGTCCACCGGTCGGCGGGTCCGCTGGTCAGCTGGTCCACGGGTCCACGTGTCCATCGATCCGCCGGTCCACAAGTCCACCGTGCAGTCCAGCGGTCCACCGGTCTACCAGTCCGCCTCTCCACCAGCTCACCGGTCCGCTAGTCCACCGGTCCTCTGGTCCCCCGCTCCACTGGTCCACTGGTCCGCTGGTCCAGCGGTCCACCGGTCTACCAGTCCGCCGCTCCACCGGCTCACCTGTCCGCTGGTCCACTGGTCCTCTGGTCCACCGGTCCACCGGTCTACCAGTGCCCCGCTCCACTGGCTCACTGGTCCGCTGGTCCACCGGTCCTCGGGTCCACCGGTCCACCGGTCTGCCGGTCCACCGGTCTTTATGTCCACAGGTCAACAGAATTCGCAATTATTCCACCATCGCCCGAATCGTGTGAGGGGGACACGTGGCCTGGCGAGTGGAGGCAGGGATGGGAGGGGGCAGGAGGGGGAGGATTAAGGAGTGAGGGAGACGCGGGGCGCCGTCTGTTCAGAACGAGGACCCAACACCACAGGATTAGGGGAACAAAGAGCCACATGTAAACATTAAAAAAACGGAGGTCCGCGCGGATTTCTCGGATCGGCGCTGGACCCCCTTCCCTGGCGCGCGGTCGCCGCCGCCAGGGGGGTCCAGCGCGGATCGGAGAAATCCGCTTGGACCTCCGAGTTTTTATGTTTATGTCTTTTCTTCGTTCCCCTAATTAAGGATGGCTTGGAACGAAAGCGGAAAGGACCGTTCAGCTCGCGCCCGAGCAGGCGTACCTCGTCGGGATCCGCGAGCACGTCGACTCGGAGCTGGAGGGGCTCCGCGGCTCTCGACTCACAGGCGGGCGGCGCGCAGGCAGCAGGGCCGCGTCGAAGGAGGAGGAGGAGGAGGAGGAGGAGGAGG